GCCACTGTCACTGCAGTACAGGTCAAAATGGTACAGATTTGTACTTTATTTCAAATTGTACCTTTAAAGGGGCATTTCTGGACTTTTAAAGACCAGTATTGTACTTTTAAGGGAACATTTTAAAAAAATGTACCTATAGGTACAAAAATGTTCTTCTCTCGTACCTCTATTTCTGAGAGTGTGGATAAGAGAAAGAGAATGAATGGATAGATGTATATATTGTCTATATTTTTACATTTCTCTTTAATATGACCTAATTTTGTTTTAGCATTTTCTTATGAAAATGTTCATAGGAATTATAACTCTTTCAAACTGTAACACAAAAGCATAATATTTAACGTAACATCTTTTTAAAGTTTTTTTGAAAGTAACTGTTACTTGAAAAGTGCATTTACAGACTTCTAAAAATATAAACTGAATTCATCAGTAAATGCAGATCATCTTTGTGTTTATGGTTCATTTATTTCAAAAGTAGTTTAAAGGAAGTGAAAGAAACAGATGGCAATGTTTTTACCGTAGTCACCCAAGTGTCTTAATTTTGTCACTTTAACTTAAAGAAATTGTCACAGGGTTGTCTTGATGCATGCTCAATTATCTAGGTAGGGAAATCCAAGAAAGTTAATTCTGTTCATCTGGATGTAGAGTTTTCAGTGGGGGAAATATTTTGTCACGAATCCATTTTCATAATGACCAGCGACACTGACTAACAATGGGCCATGAGGTCAGTTTCACAAACATTAATATACAACTTGTCATTGCCCCTGATCAGTGCCATGAGAATCATTTGCAGAAAGTCGGGGAATAATTGCAATAACAGTATTGTAAGATGCTTTAAGCAAATGTACTGTTTCTAAGGTTGGGGAAACCTGCAATAAACTGAATATATCATTTGGATGAATGAATGATGAAACGCTTCTCACACTGAAAATGCTACATCCAGATGAACAGAATAACATTTCTGGGATAAGACGGGGATGAGTTGTTAACTGTAAAACATTATGAAAATAATTTAAAGATTTTACTTTTACTATTTTAGCTTCATCTACTTGTTTTTACCTTCTTTAATTGTAACTTTTTTGTAAACTCCTTTCCCCTCTCTACTTCCCATTTCTCTCCTCCAGTGGGTGTGGTGCAGCCCACCTTGACCATCCTCCCTCCCTCCAAAGAGGAGGAGAAGAAGAGTAGTGCCACTGTGGTGTGTCTGGCCACCGGGGGCTTCCCCTCAAACTGGACACTGGACTGGAAGATGGGGGGCACCAGGATGTCCTCGGGTGTGTCAACCAGCCTGGAGGTCCTGGAAACAAATGGCCACTACAGCTGGAGCAGCACCCTGAGCCTCTCTGTAGACCAGTGGAAGAAGGCGGGCTCAGTGAGCTGTGAGGCCAGTCTGAGTGGACAGAGCCCTGTCACTCAAACCTTGAACACTGACCAGTGCTCAGAGTAGAGCTTCAGCAACACTTCCTGTCTGCAAATGATGTGTTTTATAATTTGATGAAGCTACATGTTTCTGCTGTTGCGATATTTCTGCAGATGTTTGACTCTTGTTGATGTGCATGCAGATTTCATCAGCTAATCTTTTCCATATTGTGCTTTAAAATCATGCTGTAAAGAAAAAAAAAGTCTTCATCACAAAATAAAATCACAGCTCATGAAAAATCATTTTTGTTTTTTGTTTCATATTCAAAATATCATTTTCAGAATCTGCAGTAATACCATTGTTATTAAAAAATAGCAAGCTAATTTTGGCTTAAGTATGTAAGAAAATTACAGGTTATTGCACAAGGTTGTCATTGCAATATATATTTCTTGCACAATAATTCTTATGAGATAAATGTAAGTTAATCCTTCATGTAAAAACCATGAGTTTCACTTTTTATTATTCTTTGCGCTTCTGCTTGATGACTCTTTTTGTGTTGTGTTTAATGGACATTCTCATCACAGTCTCTTCATCGACACTCTGGACCTACAGCCTTCAGTGAAAGACTGAAAGACATTTTTGTTTTTTTAAAACTATCATCTCCAATTCAGAAAAGCCAACATGGTTCCCAGCCAAGAAGAAAATAAACATATTCAGTATCATTTAACCTGCCACATGAATTTTGCTTTCGTAGGCCGATAGTTTGATACTAATGATAGCCAATCGTGATTGTTGCGATAACCACAACTTTTCCTGCCTTGGGTTTTGTACTGTCGTATATACACATAAACCACAATCTGAACTTTGAATCTTCCTACGGCTTACTGTTTTTGCACCGAAGGTCGGCAAACTTTGAACATAAAACTTGTTTCCAGTTTAACTGTTTCAACAGGGTCCCATTGTGTCTCTGATATATCCACATCCAAACATCTCTATTTGGCTCAGAAATGCTGGCATTTATTTTGTTGTATACCAGAAAGACAGACAATTACAGATATTTTAAAACTTCTAAACTCCTCTTCTTGGAGGACTGACATTAGAAATGTAGAAAATATAAAAATACTCAAATTTTTGGTGTGTTTTTAAAAAAGAAGAGGGCAATGCACAACCTAATTCCTTCAAGTCTAAACTTAAAACTCAGGTAATCAAGTTATCATGCAACTTTGATTCTGTCATAGTCCTGGGTCAGTTTACTCATCATCCGCCAGAATCTCAGCAAGAGCCAGTGTGCACAGTGGAGGGGCTTTCTGAAGTCCAGGACAGGAGCTCACAGTGTGGAGAGCATGAGCAATAATAGGTTTAAAGTCTGTCGAACAAACCAAAGCTTTTGTGTGAGAGTGCTGACAACATTAACTTAGAGACTGATATATCGATTTCATCTCAGCAGCTGGTTGTGAAAAGTGCTTAACACCAGGTGTCTTGATGCATGCTCAATCAGCCAGGTAAGTAAATCTTAATGATCATTAATGATCAAGGAACTGACCTCACAGCCCATAGTTCATTCAGTGGCCTAGTTTCAGTCATTGTGCGAATGTACTGTTTTACAAGGTTGGGGAAACTTGCAGTCAGCTGAGACTGAAGAAGTCACTTGGATGAGTGATGAAACGTTTCTCCCACTGAAAATGTTACGTCCAGATGAACAGAATCAACCTTTTGGGACTTAACACCATGTCTATGATAGGAGTTCTACACTGAAGTACCCAAAAGGGTCCATTCATATTTAAAACCCCCAGCTTCCCTTGGATTATTGTCAAGATCTTACTGACTGAGGTCTCTGCCAGACAGCACACCCTCAGTATATACTTGGGCATACCAAACCTGTACACCATCCTTCTCTTGCCATCAATATTAATGTTTCAACACTGAAATGAACTGATTATGTTGGGTTTTTTTTTATTTTCCTTCCTCTCAGTATTCAAGACAATATTATTAAAGTGTTTTGGATTTTGGATTTCATAGAACTGTGTACACAATTAGGAGCAGCCCTAAATAGACTCCAAAAATAATTGGTGAAGATGTAATACTTTTAAAAATGATCAGATCTGCACTCATAATACAGGTGGCATTACATAGTGGTAAAGAAAATTAGAAGTGGAAGGGTTTTTTGTGTGCATATTTTATGCGGAGCTTTGCAGCCTGTCTAGATTTCTGCTGGTACCTCCATCTGAATAATCATGAACAGCATCAAATAGATTGATCGATTCTCTAACTCAGACTTCATCTACATTGTGCAAAGGGTCTGAGATCAATATTCATTTTTAAAAGTATTTTCTGTTGATGTTTTGTGACCAGTCCCAGCAATTGTGTTTTTAATGTACTACAGGGTGGGCCATTTGTATGGATACACTGTAATAAAATGGGAATGGTTGGTGATATTAAAGTCCTGTTTGTGGCACATTAGTATATGTGAGGGGGCAAACTCCTCAAGATGGGTGGTGACCATGGTGGCCATTTAGAAGTCGGCCATCTTGGATACAACTTTTGTTTTTTCAATAGGAAGAGGGCCATGTGACACATCAAACTTATTGGTAATGTCACAAGAAAAACAATGGTGTGCTTGGTTTTGTATTTTGTACGTGTTTTGGAGTTTGTGCGTGCTTTGTCTCTATGGGCCACCGTATTAATGTACTGTATGTGTTGTACATTTTGAGGTGGAGGGATGCTTGTGTTGTGTTTAGTGGACCAGTCATTCCCAATGCAGTCCAACACTCTGCACCTGCATCTTTCAGCCAGAATGAAGGTGTTTTTGTACAGCTATAATTCACTGTGTGAACGTGCCATCATAATGGTAGCCCACACAGTAATAATCTTCCGCCTGAATATCACTGATGGATAAAGTGTACTGAGAACCAGATCTACTGCCACTGAAACAAGATGGAGTTCCTGAGAAGCGAGTTGATGCCCAGTACATAAGAAGTTTGGGAGGCTGTCCAGGTTTCTGAAGGTACCAGCTTAGAGCATTATTAATATTTGTACTTCCTGTGGCACTGATGGTCACAGTATTTCCCAGAATGACAGACTTGGCTTGATCAGGCTGAGTCAGAAAATTGTTGGCAAATGACTCTGAAATAAAGACAAGAGAACAACATAAAATATACCAGTTACAGTCAGAGTAACTTGAACAAAAAACAAAGTCTCTCACCTTGACTCAGAAAACCCAATATGACAACCAGAGTTGATGGAAACATCATCATGATGCAGTTTTCAGTTTGAGTGAATGAACAGTTCAGACTCTCAGTGTCTCTCAGAATTTAAACTCTGAGGAGCAGTGAGGCATAGGAATACAAAACACATTTATGGAGACAAACATACATCTGCTACAGCAGCAGCACCCTGAGGCTAAGAAGAAGAAGAAGAGGTATACTCCTGCAATCCCACTCCCTATGTAGCAGCCAGTATGCAGAGTGGAGGTGACAGGCAGCATCCAGCTGACACACAGATTTAAAGTTTAAATTGACTGTAAATGTGGAAATACAATTTTTAGATATTTTTAAAGTTTTATGTTCTTTATCCTATTTGTGACCTCCTCTCCTCTGTCTTATCATAGTGTCATTCACACTATCAATATATATTATAGCTGTCTAGTGTTTAGCTCTCTGACACTGAATTTATCTGAGGATTCTGACTGAAATCTTTGACATTCAGGCTCTTAGACTGAAAAAATGAATTTTCATACAGATGCACTTTAAAGGAATTTACAGTTCGTCAGTCTTAAGTAGCAAAAAGGAAGTGAAACAAACAGATGTGAAAGTTTAACTTTTCCTGTACTCATTTTGTTTTCATCACAAAAGTAGATGCAACAACACATTTGGTGTATATTATCACAGTATACTCCAATTTCTCACTTCAATCTCTCTGACCACAGTATCATTACACAGTTAATGTGCTGATCAATGTGAGTTTTCATATTTGAAATGAAGCTAAAACTTTGTGCATGAGAGAACACACCTGTAAAGTATTGACAACAATTTGTGGTTGGTTTAATGTGGTTTAATATATTGGCTGTATGATTTATAGTTGTACCACAGTGTAGCTCAAGACTGTGTATAGCGCAAATCCCTGAATAAGGGTGCGTCAGGAAGGGTATCCAATGTTAAAATGTGTGCCATATCCAGCCCTCATCCAGGCGTGAGCAGCATTGGTTTTTGGGCATTGTGGGTTTCTGTAAAAACTTTTCTACTGTTGCTGATCGACTTAGATATCCTACACCTATTATTCTAGTTTTCTAGAACTTGTTCATGGGAGTAGACTGAATCTAATGGCCCATTGCATGGTTGGTTCATAGTCATCTTTCTGTTACAGTCTGTCCTTTGTGAATAACTACGTTACGATTATTAAAAGGCGATTAAATGGCAGCAGTTTTAAATGCTGGGTTCCTTTAAGCCAAACATTTAGAGGCTGTAGCAAATATATAAATTTGAGTTAAAACTACAAAGCTGTGTAATTTTGTTTAGATATATTGTGTTTGTGGTTGATGATTCATGTTGTGTTTAGTGAACCAGATATTCTCCTACACTCTGCAGCTGCAGCCTTCAGCCAGACTGAAGGAGGTTTTTGTACAGCTATAAACCACTGTGTGAATGTGCTATCACCATGGAGGCCCAGACAGTAATAATCTCCAGCATCTTCAGCTTGAATATCACTAATGGATAAAGTGTATTGAGAATCAGATCTACTGCCTCTAAAACGAGACGGAGTTCCTGAGAAGCGATTTGATGCCCAGTATATAAGAAGTTTGGGAGGCTGTCCAGGTTTCTGAAGGTACCAACTGAGATCAGCACCAATATCTGAACTCCCTGTGGCACTGATGGTCACAGTCCCCTCAAGACGGACAGACTTGGCTTTATCTGTTTGAGTCAGAAAATTGTTGGCAAACGACTCTGAAATGAAAAATAAAGTGATTTCAGTCTTGAGAAATGAAAAACAACAAATTGATCTTTTTAAATCAGAGAAACATGAACAGCACAGACAGAATTAAAAAATAAAACAAAAATAAAAATCTCTCACCCTGACTCAGAAAACCGAACATAATAATCAGAGTTATTGGAAAAATCATCCTGATGCAGTTTTCAGTGTGAGTGAACGAACAGTTCAGACCCTCAGTAGCAGAAGAACTTAAACTCTGAGGAGCAGTGAGGCATAAAATCATGCAAAACACGTTTAAGGAGGCAAACACACATCTGTTCATGTGAAGCAGAAAAGGTAGAGTTGGCACGACAGTTTATCACCTGCTCACAATCACTGAGCTTTAGCTAGAAAAAAAATGTTAGTCTTCACAATATCAATCACTTTTGGGGGTTTTCCCCCGATGGCCCGGAAAAGCAGGAACATCGTGTCTCCAAGAAGAGCTGACTTGAATTTCGCGGTGACCTGTAATGTTTGATCTTTGTGCATTACTCTGGTTTTTAAGTCGCCTTTTTTATAATAGTGTTTGAGACTTATATGGTTTATATGAAAGTCTGTTATGTCCCTCTGCAGGCAGGCAGACAGGCTTTCCAGAAGCTCACTTGTCTTTGTCCTGGTGGACAGTACTAATAAATAGGTCAACTGCTCTAAACTGAGGATTTAATTTATTTGGTGTCTGCATGTTTGATTTCTGATACATGATTGATTTGTCAATTCTTAATTTTGTTTCACCACTGGAAGGAGGCCCTGTTATTAGCTGCAGATCACCAGTGTATTTCTGCAGTAGGGTTAACTCAAAGGCGTGTATTTGATTGTTTTCTTGTGTTTTTTTTTTCAGAAGCTGAAGGCCTAAAGTGTGTGTGTGTGTGTAGGGGGGCAGGGCTTTTTGGTGGGATCTTCGATGTGCTGTGATTACTTATGTACCCTTGGTTAGACCTGTACGTGTGTGTGTGTGTGTGTGTGTG